AAATACATGACAAGGGGAACACTATACTATATATTAAGTTTTAGTTTCTAAGCAAAGCTGAGAAGATATTTTTTTGTGACCATCATTTATTTTATCTGCTCTAACTTGACCTATTTTTTTCAACGATACGTCAAATTACTATAATTCGTATCTAGTTGAAGATATTATCCTAAAAAATTGAAAAAAAATTCTATACTTGTCCCATCTATGCCTCGTTCACACTGTGCCGCGACTCCACTGTGCTACCGTTTTTTAACTAATTGATATAATTACTATTTTATATAACACGAAATATTTTTAATAATTATTTTTATTATTATTTAAATTATTTAGGACAAAAACAATACCTTTTACATTTATTGATTATCATTACGAAAAACGATTTGATAAATTAAATTTAAATTAGCAATAAAAGTTTTAGTTTCATCAAAATATGCTTCAGTATATTTCGCTATAAAATGGTACTTAGTTTCATTTGCAGTAAGTCTGTTAATATACAAAATATTGAGAACTTCTATGTCTGGGATATTATCGTTTTCATATTCACAATAGCGTTTCATATAATTATTTGCTTTTGTGGTTAATATAGATAATACATTATCAAGGTATGTCTGTATGCCAACATTTTCTATTGGATATGCTTTAACTGGATTGTTCATGAATGGATTCGTAATTCGTTGAAAGTTATTTCGTTTATTTTTAAGTAGACTAATGTAGTTAACTCCTTCTTCTATAGAATATACAAATTCTACCAATTTTTGAATAAAATTGTTAAGAGATTTTATTATGTGTTCATCTAAATATATCTTAGATTCTTCCATTAGTTAATATATATAAGAAGTAATAACGGTTATTCTTTCAGAATACTTACAGTAAACAATATCTGGCAAAATATTTTGAAATTTTAGAAGGAACTTATGTGCTGGAGAACTCGGATCATTAATATTATAGTCGTTTGATAAATTAATTGCCTCCTGTCTTAAGGAATCAAAAGAGGTAAAATTATTTCCATCCATTCGAATACTGACTCCATCAAGTTGTAAACTTGCCTGAGAGCAAACAAAATATTGAAAAATATTTTGCACCTCAACACATGAAACGTTATGAGTATAATATAAAATGTTCAACATCAAATAAAGGCTCCATGTAGTTTCAATCATCATTTTTAACATTTTTTTATTAGAATTATACGATATACAATAGAAAAATGTAGTCAAAAGCTGTTTAAATGTTCATATTTAAGTCATCAAAGAATAATCCCATTATTTGTATATTTAAAAATAAAATGTCTACTTATTTAAACAAAAGTTTTATAATGATTAATACCTTTATTCTTAGCAGTTATATTTTTAAATAATTGTCTCAAATACATTTTTTCAAGTTTGTATACATAGAAATATTTGAAACTAGTTCCCGAGAAAATATCATAATTTAGTCTTACAATTTATAAATCGATCAATATAAGAATACTAATGAAATCTTCTTAAATTAATTTTAAAATGGTAGCCTATTAGGGTCCTAATACAGTATAGACATGACATAGATGGGACAAGTATAGATGATAACATTTTATTTTTTGGCTCATTGATATAACTACTATTTTATATAACAGAAAATATTTTTAGTAATCATTTTTATTATTATTTAAAAAATTTATTATAATAACAATTCCTTTTACATTTAATGATTATCATTACAAAAAACGTTTTTATAAATTCCATTCAGATCATGTATTAAAGTGTTAATTGCAGTCAGGCCACATTTTGGGGAGGAGCACTTTTCCCGGGTTGCAAATATCTTATAACAAATATGTGATTTTTTTTAAATTTAATTAATTTTATTTAACTTGAAATTCTAGCAGATCGGTTTATTTTTATGAAACATAATTATCAATTTCTAAAAAAAATATTAATTAATTATTCGTCAACTTAAAGCATATACAAAAATATAAATATGATATATTAAAGCTGTATAACATCAAAGACTGCAGTTAGTAGGTAGGTATTATCATTGATTATACATAGTACTATTTATAATCAACGACTCTATAAAATAAGTAGGCAGCAATTTATTTGATTCGTGTTTTTATCTATTTTTAGTAAAATTTTGATATGTTCTCCCTTAAACTGGTTTTGTGGATATCGTCGGACGTTGATATTCGATTATATGGGTATACTAAGAAAGTTATAATTCAATAATCTATTACGTTTATCACAACATTATTATCTAACAATGTGTTGTGTACAGACGGTTCATAATGTTCCACTTACTTATTAGCCTTATTATATTTGAAGGTAATAATTTAAGATTTTAAACAGTGCATATGTAGGATTATGGAGACGTAGTATTAAAAACGGTGTGTCGTTTATTATTATATATAATTTATTTTTTTTAACATATTAAAAATCAAATCAGTAATAATTTGAAAACAAATTTTTTTTCTTTTACTTATTATTTTATATGTAATTAGTAATAATATTAAAAATTAGAAGTGATAAGAAAAATCGAAATAGTTGAAAATTTATTTTAACTTAAAAAGAATAAAGAAAAAATTCAATAAATTCAATGCCATACGCGGGTTGGAACCTTGTACCTCAAGCGTAAAAAACACAAGTTTTACCAACTCGGCAACTACACGTTGATGAAAAAATTGACTATTTAAGTAAGTTCAAATTTTAAAGTTCATTTTCTCGAATTCAAAAAGCAAAACAATTTAAATAAGTTTAACTTACTATGCTATATCAATTTTTTATTTATATAATATTTATGAAAATCTGTACTCCCCTTGTTAGGTATTTTAAAATAAAATAAAATACAAAAGCCAGAATTTTACATACAAAAATAGCATATTTTTGAATATGGTAGTCATTTTTACCATGAAGACAAATCCGGAGGTCAAATTTTTTTTTTCAAATTAAAGTATATTACATTAGCTTTAATTTTAGATACATATAAAAGGGTAAGTATTTCTGGAACACTTTAAAAATTTAATTGAAAATTTCCTAGTTTCAATACGCACGTATAAAGTATTGACCCCCTCTTGTATAAAGGGGTAAGATCCAATTTACAAAAAAAGCGTGTTAGATTAAATGGGTATATAAAAATTATTTATAAAAAATAATAATATTGATCCATACATTTTTCCAAAAGTTATAGCAATATAAATTTAATAATATAAAATCGACAATTTTTTCACGGAAATCGTACGTTTTTCTTTAACTTTGATGTCCGTTTTCACCACAAAGACAAGTCTAGAGATCAATTTATTTTTTTTTCAAAATAAATGATATTTTATAAGCTCTATTTTAAGGTATATTTAAAAGTGTCAGTCTTTCCGGAACATTTATAAAAGTTAAGTTGAAAAAGTTCTACATACTATACGCATTTTAAAAGGTTTGCACCACCCTGTATATAGGGAAATAGTCCGATTTAAAAAATAAGTATGTCCAATGAAAGAGGTATATATCATTAAAGAATAAAATTGATTCATACATTTTTCAAAAAATATAACAACATAATGTTAAAAAAGTTATAATATAATATTAAGAATTTTTTCACAAAAATAGCATATTTTTGTATACGGTAGTCATTTTTACCATGAAGACAAATCCAGATGTCAAATTTTTTTTTTTCAAATTAAAGTATATTACATTAGCTTTAATTTAAGGTATATATAAAAGTGTCAGTCTTTCCGGAACATTTTCAAAAGTTAATTTTTTGTAAAAAAGTTACCATTTTGAAACCCTTTCTGTGGGCTGGTAAATGATCAAATGTTCACAAAAATATGTACAATGATAGTTAAATACCTAAGGTATCTAAAAAACAAAATTATATAATTATTCGATTATTTGGAAAAAATTTTGGCGATTTTAAGTAAAAAATATTGATAAAATATTGAAAATTAGCGATTTTTAATTTGTAATTTTTTGGAGGATTTCCCCCGTTAACGGGGAACGAGGGATTTTTTTTTTCAAATTTTGAGGGTAATGTCTTTAACTAGATATGTTTTGTGATCTTTTGACATTTTTTCATTAAAATTAGTTCAGCGAGAGTTGAGATTGAGCGTCGGATAATACGCGGGCAACTCTTGACAATGTTTTTGCCTTAACCGAAACAAACGGCGCGTCAGATAAACGGCCGTTTACGGGGAGCGAAACACAAGAGTGGCAAAACGACGATCCGTTTCTTTCATCCATCATGAAACAATTGCTCAAGGAGAACGCCAGAAAAAATGATAAGGAGTCCAGCAAGGACAACAACGAATATTTCATGTTAGACGGACTTGTACGCATTCGTATGGGCGTAGACACACCGGCCGTAATACCAGTAGCCAAATCACAGCGTTCGATTTGGCGATACCACGACGATCCGCTGGCGTGTCATCCAGGATGGATAGATACCTACCGAGCGAACAAACAGCGTTTCTATTGGAAGGGCCTGAAAAACATAGTACGCGAGTACGTAAAATCGTGTGATGTTTGCGCGTGTACAAAGGCCCTAAATAGGCGTCCGAATGATCATTTAACTTCGCGCAAACCAAGACAACCGCGGGAGGTCATATATTATCTAAATTTATTTTCGACTCTCGAGAGTCAAACAAACTAGCTGAGCAGACCAGTCTAAGAAATTTAAATATTTTAATAATAAATTCTTATAAAAATTGGATAGCGGAAAAAATTAGAATAATGTTAGTTATGTCATTAAAATTTTTTATTTATTTTTATGTATACCAAAATATCTTATTTATGACTTATTTGTTTTAGCGTAGTATATATTTTAGCTAGTACATCTT